CACTGCAGATAACGGAGCGATGATTTGAAGGAAAACATCGCTCAGTGTGTTCACGTGAACCTTCAAATCCTGCTGCCATTAATGAGCCAGATAACCAGCGTTTCACCGGGAACAGCAACAGTACTATTTACTACTCTTTGTTTTTTGTGCGATGCTAGTATTGAAATAGTTAGTAATCTTCTTCTGTTTCATAGCAGCATCTCTGACATTGTAGTAAAACAGACGTCTTATAGCTGGAGTTCAGGTCATGGTTAATCGAACAAGCCTTTTACTGTCCCCCTGTTAATTAGTGAGCACCAGAGCTAAAGAAAAGGAACTATGTATTTGGCCTATCCTCTTGCTGTTCCTGTCTGTGCCCTCCAGTGTTGCTGAGTAGTATATGGACGTTTTGGAATAAATCTCAGTCGATTTCAGAACTCCCAGTACAGATTATTTTTAAATTCCCAGATTGTTACCCCCTTTATTCTCTAACTTCACATCTTGTTCCCTTGTACCTATCAGTACGTACTGTACTGACACACTGTTAATTCTAAAATATTATACTGTACATTTTGGAAGAAAGTCACATTCTACTGCCTTACGTACCGTTTAATTCATGTTTGTAATTAGAACTTTTTTAAACGAAAGACCATACAGAAGATGTATGTATGTATATATATATATATATATATATATATATATATATATATATGTAATCTACAGCATTGTCTTTGCATCTAAGTTTTGTTTTACCTTATCTGACAGGAGACGTCGTCGTTGTAGTCCAGCAGAACATTCAAACCAAAGCGTTTTCAGTTTGAGACAGACAGTGAAGAGAAAATGTGTTTCTAATTCAAAGAAATATTGTCACCATGAGAATAACAAAACCCTGAAAGTAGACAAAAACGGAATAGTACGCTGCAATGTTGTTACCTGCTCAGACTTGGTATTGTAACATGAAATACACTCTTGAAAACTTCAGCTGTTGAATCTCAACTGGAGACAGTTTGTTTGCGTCATATAGTCCAGAGTGTTATTTATGACAATGACCTACAAAACAGATCTTTATGAAGGAATATCAAATACATTGTTTCTTGTAGTTGTTTTTTGGGTGAATCCATGCATCCTGTCCACCAGTTATTGACTGAATATCAGTGGAGCTCAGGCTCCTAATTTCTTCACCGGATCAACATGCAGCACAGCTCCGTCATCTTGTCTCCATCTAGTGTTCAGCAGTGGAACTGCTTACTGCTCTGTGAATCCAAACAGATCAACAAAACAAGCTGCGTCTTGTCTCATCTCAAGAAAAGGGCAGAAGTAACACTTCATGAATGAGTGGGGCAGGCGTTTTCTACATAAAGACACTAAGATTCTTCAGCTTGTGAACCTTAAACTGTGACTCTGTGTGGGTGTTGATAACGTTCCATGTCAGTATTCTTTTTACATGTGGATGTCATTCAGTGGGATTAGTAAGTAAAACATGTTTTAGTGTCACTCCATCAGTTGATAACTTTCAGTGGAATCATATTATGATTATGTTCCTTTGTGCTTTGACAGTTGACAGGTTGTTGAGGGAGACAGGACACGTGGGGAGACGGAGGGAGACAGAATCGAACTGGTCCGTTGTAATTCTATGGACCACTGTTGTCGTGAAATGCATTACAATGCATTATTACCTCAAACAAGGTCATGTTTTCAGATAGCTTTGTTTGTTGGTTTGTCAAAAACTACTGGCCCGATGTTCATGAAACTCGGTGGAAGGGTTTAGTTTGGAGTAGATCCCAATCACAGGGCAGATACTCGCATTATGTTTCACCTACGGAAACGTCCTTGGTGGAGTTCTGCCCCTCTTGTTTGATATGTGATTTGACAGATTGGCCATATTGTGTGTTCTGTTAGAATTAAAATAACATTATTTTATGTAAGCATTGTTTAGGTGACAAAGTTCTGCTAAAGTCCTGTTGTGTGTCTCAGACAGGAAGCAATAATTCAGCTTTAATGTGCTTGTTTGTAAATGGCATGGGAACAAACAAAGTCACATCGTGTCCTCTGGCACCTTCACTCCCTTTACCTTCACCACTGATGTCATAACAGTGTGTGTGTGTGTGTGTGTGTGTGTGTGTGTGTGTGTGCGTGTGCGTGTGTGTATGCGTGTGTGTGTGTGCTCAGGGAGCAGGGGGTGGGCACAGTATGTAGAGCATCAACATGCATCTTCACTCTGAAGGCTGACTCATCCCAATATATCACACAAACACACCCTCGCGTCTTGGAATCATTTCTCTCATGTATGCTTGTTTTCTTTTCCATCGGCTTGGCAGCGGAGGGTGTCGAGGAGGCCGAGCAGTCTGAATAAAAGATGCATCACTGACGGGCTCGCTTGTTGGAGAACTGAGGTAAATCCTAGGGTGAGTCACAGTTCAGCATGAGCGTTGACCAGTGAAAGCATCACATTCTCCACGAGGTTGTTGGATAATCTCATGACTCAAACTGATTTAGAACAGCCTACTATTGAAAACATTTCACAGTAGGGCGAATGAATATTTTCAATATCGATTCATCTTATTTTTTTAATTAATTGTTTTGTCAAACATTTATGGAAATTGTGGAAAATGTCCGTCACAGGTTCCCAGAGCACAAAGGGAAGATGTCTTCCGCCACACAGTCCAAAATGCAAAAGACATTCAGTCTACATCATGTTAGAAAACAAAAAGCAGCAAAAGCTCACATTTTACTTTTCTGAATGAAGTCCCTTTGTAATCAGAGCTTCTCCTAGCTTGTTGACATAGCGTGGCCGACCATCTATTCTTTTTAGTGCACGTGGCCCACTGGTGAGCTCACGGCTGCCGCTCTGCCCTGCGTTTACACGCCATTTGATTCAGCAGCGCCGCAGCGTGTAGCTCCCACCCTCCGGTACCCCTCGGGTAAACACTGTTAGCTCTGTCAGCGCTGTTGCCGTTGTTTGCACTGTCAGCACTGTTATCACCATTAGCTGCTAGCGGCCGGCTCAGATGTCGACATGTTGAGAGCCATTCGGAGGCGATAGAAATGCTCTGACATTCTTATTGAGCACCTTTGATTTTCTATCGTTTCCGCTTTGTTTCATGGTGCAGATGCTGAATATAAAGTGGCAGTCACTAAATGTGTAATGGTGTTGCTTTTATCTTAATGGATAAAACATAAACAGTTCCATTAAAATATTCTTTTGTAAATGGGTTTTGTTAGCACATGCATAAGTTCACAGGGAAAATACCTCAATCCTCCCATTGTGTCGCTAACTTTTTTCTCAAAGAGCCAAGCTTTGTCTTATTTACCTGCTGCGGACTCTGATTTTCTCTCTGTAAGACAAACTAGCGACAGAACTAGAAACCAGTGAGGTCTCATCCCGCAGTATACTGGCAGCCCCATTTTCCCTGTGGAGTCTCTGAGGACCCAGACAAGTAGATAACCTGTCTGCCAGAGAGGGAGGAGGAAGAGACATGCCGTCACTGAGCGCTGTCAGCACACTCGTCTTTCGCTGGTGAATCAAAGTTTTCTGGTGATTCACGTCTGCAAACGACGGCCTCAAAGTAAAGCCACTCTCCCCCTTTTTTCTCACCTCACACATCCTCCTCTTCCTATTATTTCACTCCTCCTCTCCATTCATCTCTTTGTCCGTGTAGTCCCTTTCCTTCCTGCCTGCTAATTGTTGTGGCACCACACCATTTATTTTTCCACCACAGCCTGCAGTAGCTCTCCAGGTCGACTCTTTCCCGTGGCGTCTCGGGGCCCTTGTTGGGAGACCTCCGGGATGTTCAAAAAAACTCTGCACACACCCAATCCCACCTGCGGGCCAGTGCAGCCTGACAGGGGATTTCACCACGCTGATGACGGGGCACAGTCTTCCTTCCTGAGCCCACATAAATCTGTCGGTGGGCTCCGTCCTATAGTCTAATATTAAAGCTGTTTTCCATGTCACGCTGCTCAACGGGGGGAGGGGCTGTTGTTGACATGAGCTGGAAGCAAATAAGTCGGAATATAGCATATAGCGCAAGATGCAAGATGCACTTTTCATACCCCTGCATTGCTTATCGATTTTTAGCACAAACACTGTCAGTGTCTTGACATCTCTTCCCCCAGAAAAAAACTGACAAGAATGGACTTGTAAGGACATTTTTCAACTGAGTGAAGGACCTCTGTCATGTCAAACTCAGAGTGGTAGAGGCTACTGACCTTAGGCTATAATCAAACAAACAGACACAGGCACGCACACACAGACAAGCGTGCACACTAAAGCGGAATGTTGTGCTGGTGCCATGTCGAAGCCCTCAGTCAGAACCAATTTATTACAACCAAACCTTGTTGTTATGAAAGGAAGCGTGACAGCTGTCATATTATATGAACATTTAATTTGGAAAGTTATGTACAAACTCTTTAGAATTTTACAAACATTATCTCGTATGCAAGAGTATTATTAAATACATTAGCAAATGATGAACTTTAGATTCAAATCTTCGTCACATTTTCTTAAGATGCACTGCTTGATAGAAAACACATTGTAAGAACAAGTTACATAACAGTGTAACACATATGTAAACCGTCCCATGTGTGTTGATCAGTCCACCAATGGCATTTCGTGGTCTTACTCTTGTTTCCTTTTAATATCATACACCAAGTAATGTCACATAATCTCCAATATTTCAGCTTCTGCTTAAGACCAAACAATGACAAGGAGACAATCAGAACACAATTCCGTAGGTGAATTATCTACAGCAGACAGTGACACATTGTTTATAGTTAACATTTTTGAAATGCCAAGTCAAAATACACTTTGCAATATATACAACATTCTGTAGTCTGGATTGCCATTGCACTTTTATTTATATATGTTAATTGCATCACAATGACTCTGCTCTAAAATAAGAGACTGTAATACTGAGTTGATTGCAACAGCAGGAACACAACAACGTTTCTCTCCCTGAGGTCATTCAGCAGTCCACTGGAGTGATCAGCAGTTCAGGGCTCACAGTGGTGGGCGTCCCCCGTCACAGTATGTCAGAGCCCAGAGAGAGGCTGTGCTCCGGGTAGCTCACCTGCCAGGGAAGCCCCAGAGCTGGAGGAGGCTCCACAAAAGCGTCCATGTATTTCTGAGTGCAGGAGGCCCACACGCCTGGCTGGTACCCCAACCCCTCACCCACCTGGGGGTACCGCAGAGGGCTAGGCGGAAGGTCGTGGGGGCTGCCACAGTGTCCATACGAGGCGTAAAGCTGTCCCTCGGTGGGATAACAAGGGTAGTGTGGAGACGGGGGACACGATGATGCGGCGTTATCCATGTAGACATGCGGCTCCGTGGGCAGTCGGTGCGAGTGAGGCCCTTGTTGTGGCTGCATCTGGTGAGAGATGGATGTGTGCCAGGGCCCATAGCTCATGTGCTCCAGGCGAGGCACCGTCGCCCTGGTCTGCTCCAGTCGAGATGCTCCCATCGCAGCTGGCCCCGCTGACGACCTGTTGCACTCCCGGTGGGTGCAGGGCTTGCTCGTGGGGTTGGAGCTCAGGAATACCGAGAGAGCAGAGATGCGGTTGATGGCCCTCTGCAGCGTGGCGATCTTGGAGAGCCGTTTGCCGCTGAGGTCATGGTTCAGAGTGACGCGCAAGGCATTGAAGGCCTGGTTGTAGTCCATGATGCGCTTCCGCTCGCGGACGTTGGCGGCCATTCTTCGCGCCTTTGAGCGGACGGGACGGTTGCGCTTCTTGGTCTGGCCTTCTTCGGGGTCGCTTGGGCTGCACGTTGAGCTCTCGCTGTCTTGGAAAGGCGCCTTGGGACTTCCCTCGTCCTCCCCTTGGCACAGCACGCCAAGCTCCAGCTCTTCCTCCGAGAACTCCGATTCTGCAACACTGCTGCAGCTCATTGTGTCAAAAACCTGGACACTGGATGAGTGCGGGTAAAGTCGTCCTGCTTGTATTGTTGTTGTAGCGAAGAGGCTGCGTTTGCAGACTACTCAACACGCTCCCCAGGTGTTCCCCGGTTTGTTTTGTGGGGCTGTCGGTATTTGCTGCTGCGCCGACAGCCCAGGTATTCTCCTCCTCTGACTCCTCCGTTGCCTCTTGATTACTTGTGCCTCGACAAGACAGGTTGGCCTGCTTTTTAAAGCTCTTGAAGTCACATGGTACAGTCACCTTTGAGGAATGGTGCACTCTCTCTGCCTCTCCAGGTTTATGGGCGCCCTCCAGGCAAATGGCACTGTCACCTCCTCCTCTGACTCTCCCTTACATCCCTTGCAGGTTCTTACAGAGGAGTTTCAACATTTCACGTCAGTGTAAAACGCACGCAAAACATACTAATTATTTGGATAGCAATTAAGTTCACACTTCCTTTAACACCTTTATGGAGGATTTAATGCCACTGTTTTTGGCTCCCATAATCCCCGACTCTAGTTGCATGTTTTTACTTGAGACTTTCCATGAAGCTGTGGAGTTTTGAACAGCCAAGTACAGTCACGTGATCCAATCCCTGTTATTACAACACTGTATCGTGCCAAGATTACTTCTTTCTCTGCACACTACTATGTGTGCCTCTTACTGTCAACCATTGGTTATAGACTATTAGTCTCAGGGACATTCGGGACAAATTGCGCATTTATCCAAGTGGCCCAATCAGTTATCCATGTTTCCCCTTTTCTCAGGTCTGGGAAGGGAGGAACCTTCTTATCTGGCGCAGGTTAGATTTGCCCCAGCAATTAGTTGTCTCTGGACTGGCGATCCTCCGCTCGCTCTGTATCTCACCGCTCAGGTTTAAGGGCCATGTAATTTAGAGTAGCTTCCCTGGAACCCATCCCCATAAATCAGGTCCGAGCAGCACCTGAGGACAAGAGCGGAGTGAGCCCCTGACTTCAAAGAGAGGGAAAAAATAAGGGCAAATATTTTACAATTAGAACCTGCAATTGCTGCTGGTTAGGCTATCCATTATTAATAACCTTTTGCTATTGAATTGAAGATGTGGTTATGTTTTAATGAAATTTAAACTGTGAAAATACTAAAATATTTTAGAAACAGTCTTTATTAATAACCCTGTAAGGTACGAATTCCTACTAGATACAGAATAGAAACAGATTCCCTTGTGTTTCGTTTACACCTCTCTCCTCTGGACACAAAATGACCTGCATCCATCTTAAAGATCTGTGCGTCAGATACTGTAGTGGACAGTGAAAGGTGATTGCACTGAAACTTAGCTGGGCTTCTGACCAAGTGCACCAGATCAGGTAACTAAAGGGTAACTAAAGGGTCGGCCCTCAGACACTGAACTGGGGGTCATTGAGAAGCATTGCTTCCTTCCTGTCCTCTTCTTTTTATTGTACGTGTTGCATCTCTGAGACGCCAACCTTTAAAACAATTACAGCCCAGAGTTTCAGCTCTAAAAGCACGACTGTTGATTTGAGGCGGGAAAGTTTATTCTCACCTTTCTACCATCGAGTCTGTGAGATCAGCACGGATTGGACTTGGATTATTCCGAAATGATATAGTTGTTTTTTTATTAATATGCCCCCACATATGTAGTCAGGAGCTGTGCTAATGTTTGGATGGCGCCTGAGGTTTTGCACAATTTAATTTGCCACAGAATTTGTGCAAAATCCAAGATGCAGTTCTGTGTATCAAATAATTCTTAATTAAGTATATCACTGTGTAGCGTCCTATTGTGGCTAAAGACGCACAGATGATGAAACACGATGATCATGTTTGAGCATTTTTGTCTTTGTTTTTGTTACAGATCCCATAAAGTAACCACTTCAACCACTGTACTTACCACACCTTTAAATAAGCCGGCTAATGTTGTGCATACCTTTATAGCTAAAACAGTTTGAAATGTTCAGCCCAGGCCGCTCAGCTCCAATGAGTACGTAGGCTTTACCACTAGCTGTGATTTATAGCTTCACAAACATGTCAGATTTACTGCTGTGGTGTAAAGAGCATGACGACTACAGCCTTGGACTCTCGCCGTCCATTCATTTTTGACAGGTGACAAGACACCAGTAATTATCAGCCGCCAGGAATAAATCACGAGATTTTATCACGCAGCTCACCATGCCCTCCATGGAATAACCATTTTCAAGCAAAGGGAACCCGTCCAACACCGCTGAACCTTAGATTTGTAAATCGCCTGCTCAAGCCCCCATAATGACTGGTTGTTAGCCGGTTGTTATTAGAGGTCTGTGTGCCAAACGTTATAGATGTATATTTCCAAAGGGGTAGTTAGGGGTAATAAGTAAGTAAGGTCCAGGTTCGCTAACCTTGGCTTTGCAGTGGTATGTTAATGCATGTTGTTGGTGTCTGCCATGGAATTTTCTCACCTCAATAAAAGTCTCCAGTCTCCAGTCCACTATTTTTCACACCACAATCCCTTAGGATAATGTCTGTAACAATCAATGTTATCAACTGTGCACTGCCAATCTGTGATCATTTTATTGCAGTTATTTTATTTGCCATACTCTAATCTCTTTTATTGCAAAAACACTGTTCTGCTTCCTCGGTCAATGGAAGAAATGAAAATTTCAAACTTTATTTTTGATCATTTTGATTCATGATAATGTGTTCATACTAGAAATACCACAGCACATGACGTCATCCTTCCCAATTCTTTGTAAAGGATATGCTACCCATGTTTACCTGATAAAGTGTGATGATTGATTTTTGGTGCACCGATAACTTAATAAATGCAGTTTAAAGGGCATTTCTTTTCCTGGCTTTAGCAAAAAGCAGTGATGTAGGTCCCCACAGTAAGATAATCAATAGAGTGCTGCAGGGTAGATGCATTTTTGTGTGCCAAACAGGAAGTTAGCATCACGCTGGTTCCCTCCACAAAGAGCCAATGGGATTTTTCCTTTGGATTTTAGGTTTTGGCAGAGCATAATCTTCGTGGCAAACAAATGTTTATCATACTTACACGGTTTATTCAGCAAGATAATCTTCATAAATTAACACCACTTTTATGATTTTGAAGTGTGAATACAATCGCCAGATTCCAAAAAACGAAGGTGAAGCCGTAAACAAGCTACACCTCGATCACATGAGTGTTAGTATGAACACGACGAGGCTGTAAAGGTGGACTAGTCAGCGGGATGACTTTTAGCCGTCATTATCGCGTTAACGCATTCATTAATTAATGCTGACAATTATTTTATTGCGCGTTAACGCGTTTTTTTTTATTTATTATTAAACGGACATTTTTAACACAAGAACCATCCGACCGACCTGCCGGCAGCGAGCGGTGAACAGCTGTGTTTGTGTGGCGTCTCTTCCTGTTTCCTTCACCTACATTCCCCTGGGTCCTAAATCCCTCCATGTACAGCTTATTATCACCCTCTATGTACCAACGTACATTTATAACAAATACCACACATATTACGGTACTCAGCGTTGCATATGTGTCTGACCTAAATACCAAAAAAAGCAAAAAAGAAATGATTAATTTAAATTATTTTTTTTGAGTTTTTAAAGTGTTTTTGTTTGGAATATGTATAATAAGCATATCATTTAGTTATCACTACTGAGAATTTAACAAACGTAAAAAAAAAGAAAAAAACATGACGTAGATAGGTTTGCAGTTTTCAAGGTGTATATTTCATATTGCATTTATTACACACATGAAATTAAAGTTGTGAACACCGGCTGAATATCTATTATCAGAATCATTATAATTGTATTATAACTGCTACTGTGTGAAGGGAATACTGCTGTTAAAAATAACCTGATTTGTTTAAAGTGTTTGCAAACCAAATGTTATTGCACTTTTGTTCATATAGCAGTACTTTTAAAATAAAAGTGAGCAATACACTACTTTTGAATTCATTATTGAATTTTGTACAGAACAATGCGATTAATCGCGATTAATCGCAAAAAAATCATGCGATTAAAAATTGTAATCGTTGCCCAGCACTAATATATATATATTTTATATATATATACGTAAATATAGACTATAAGGATTTACATATACTGTATATGTAGCAGCAGCATCATGCGGAAACCTACATCAGGTCACGCTTTTAGATGGATTTGGGAGTATAGCATATTAAAAAACCCAAAATAATGGAGTAAGTAAAGTAGCAATATTACTCAGTAAAAATACTCTGTTGCAGGTAAAAATGTTTAATTGGGTAAGAATACAAGATACATCTAAAAAGTTTACTTTAAGTATCAAAGTAAAAGTGCTTGTTGGGCAGACTGGGCCTTTCAGACGGTTGTATTATGATATACCGTATATTATATATACTATTATTACTGACCCATTTACACTTACACTACGCATTCTAATATCACAGCTTGTTGACGTGCAGCTAATTAGAATCATTTTCTTTACTGCTGGGAACTACAATCCATCATGTTTTATAAATAGAAATGTTTTCAAAATCATGATCTTGATTTGTAAAGTAACCGTTAATAATAAATATGCCTCTGAAGTGTACAAGCACCTCAAATTTGTACTTAAGTGCTATACTTGATTAAATGCACTTACTTTCTACCACTAATTAAATGGCAGAATTAGCATTTATTCACTGTACCAGCAGGTTTACTGAGCACTGTAGAAATCCAGGAGCTGAGGAATCCTCCGTCCACACACAAGTGAAACACACTTCTTATGTTTTGGCGACACGGTGAGAGAGCGTCTACATCTTGTGAGAGATCTTGTCCAGCTCGTTAAAAACAAAACGCGAAAACAGCCCGCCGACTATTGTGAATCATTCCGTCTGAGATTACTGGCAATTACGCATATCTGCTGCTGTAATCCTCTCAGCAGCTATAAAACCTCAGTTGTCGGGTTGAAACAGTGCCTCAGGTATTCACAGCTCAAACATTGAAAGTGTTATTCACAGATCTGTCACAGTGTTGGCTATTAATCATACAGGTGTGTAGC